ATTAATTTTTTTAAATAGACTAAGTTTTACCCAATCATTTATAGAACATGCTATGACAGACTGCCTTTTGCAAAGGTAATGGGCCATAACATTATTTCGGGTGAAGAAACAGAAAGAGAAATGCATTCTACAAATCAAGTCCAACCATCAACTTTGGGGTCAACAGGCCTACTAAACGCATCACCCATTTCACATGCAAAACCGAACCCGAATTCATCTCTCCATTTATTTATGAAAAAACAAAAGGAGAGAAGGGTAAACCACATAAATAATTTAGTAATTATTTTATTTTATTGAAAATAATAAATTATGAATTCGAATAATATGATATACAGGTGAGGTGAGATAAAAAATAAAAGATGATTGTCTCTTATTGTACAATCAAAATAAAATAAAATAACAAAAATTAAAAAAAAAAAAAAAAACAAAACAAATGGGGGGTCTCTACTTATTGTGTGAAACACATGAGGCAATAATGTGAAACGAGCGAAGAGGTTTCTACATATTGGGATTGACCATTTTTTTTTATCCTCACACCCCACGAGTCTGATTTTTTCAGATTCAAACACTCACCCGAAAATCTGCCCCACATTGAGGCATGCTTGTGCATGATTGACGGACAGAGCCAATCTCTTTTGTATCGTGCTTTCTTCTTCTTCTTTTTCTGATTGTGGGGTTGAATTGAAAACTCTTCCTCATGATCATAATTGTGTCTAGAATCCTGATAATCTATGACAGTTATAAAGCAAATGCTAATTGCACAAATTAAAACCTTGTTCAACGTGAAAGTGCTTTTTATATAATTAATTATAAATGCTACATGTCAAACTAAAGTGATTAACCGAGTTTGTTAAGATTCGAATCAATACATTCACCCAAACCACACAACAAAATTTTCTTTCCTTAGATTTGTACGGATTCGTAATTAAATTGCTAAGCCTGGATTATTTTGACAACAGATATGAAATAATCTTAATAGATATTAGAAGTAATTCACATAAAATGAACAGAACTCTTTTTTTTAAAAAAAAAAATTTGTTTAACTATGATTTAAAAAAGAGTTCGATTTTAGATAATATTCGATTTGCTAATTAATTCCTTGGTCGAAACTGCAACATCTTAAGGGTAAGCTTCATATTTCTTGATAATTATAGATAATATTCGTTTGCTAATTAATTCCTTAGTCAGAATCTAGCAGCTGGACCCTTTTCGGCAGTTGAGAGTGCCGGCAGTCCTAGTAATTGCGTCCACAAAAGAAGACGGCCTTGCACTTAAGCTAGAAGCTCTAGAATAGACTGATGATGACGCCCCAGCCCCCGATTCCCTGAAGTAGGCTCCGTTCAACATCAAGTCCCCTTCCGTCCTCCAGTTCCAGTTCCTCCACTCATCCTCCGGTGCATCCTCATGCTTCGTCACCTCTTTCTTGGACCGATCATCGGGTGCCAGAAATCTGTTCCCTTGGCTATTGATGGTAGGGGAAGCACTCCCGCCGATGGCATACATCTCCCAATGAGTGTAGTCATTGTTCACCACATGGAAATAGCCGAATCTGCACCTCGGCATCCTCTGCACCAGCCCTTCTCCGAAATGGTTGAACGCAATGGTGACTTGCATGTTCTTGTCCTGAGTGTAAGCATCATTGTGTCCCAACAACATGACCTTGTCATGATGAGTCATGAAGTTGTTTGAGATGGTGATGGCGGTGGACCCATGGATGGCGTCGATAAGTCCGTCGTGGCAGTTTGACAGCGAGCAATGGTCAACCCATATGTCTTTGCTAGAAAAGATAGAGATCCCATCACCGTCTGACGTTGTCCACCACCCCGCGTGTTCCGGAGAGTCGCGGATGTCGGCGTTCCCGGACGGTTTGCAGTCGTGAATGTGGATGTTATGGATGATGATGTTGGTAACGTCGTGAACTGTAATGCACGGTCCGTTTCCGATATGGACGCTGGCGCCTCTACCGTCGATTGTCTTGTGCGAATTCATCACCAGTTCCTGCTTCAGCTGGACCACCATGTCCCTCTTGAAAATAATCCACAACGGTTCGTCCTGGATCACCCCATACCGGAGAGTCCCTGGCTTTGGGTTCACCGGATCATCATCTCCGGCATCCGTAACGACATAGATTCTCCCATTCCTTCCACCATTTGCATTCTTCCCGAACCCAATAGCACAATCCGCCAGACTCTGGCGGTTACTCTCCCAGTTGGGGTCGCAACGCCAGCAGTCGTCAATGGGGTTCCCCGTCCCACACGAGGACAAATAAGCCAAATTTCTCCTTGATGCATTGATACTCCTAAGAAAACACACACCCAAACACATATAACATACACACACACACACAAAAAATGCAACTATAAATTAAACAAATTATGGAAATATAAAATGCTTACTTGTGGACATCCTCTACGACTCGTTCAGGGTCTGGAACGGGTGAGGAAAAAGCAAGGTTTGGAAGCAGAAGGGGGATGATGAAGAAAATTGGAAGGATAAATTGGAATTTGGAAGACATTTTTGTTGTTTAGTGGAGGAAGAAGTGTAGTGGTTTTAACTTTGGAGAATGTACGGGTTGGTTTAAATAGAGGATCAAAAGCCGGAAGTAATGGCGTGATTAAAACATTGGAGTGGGGTCGATGTCATCGTAATTTCAGGGTTTGCTTAGGAATTCTGAAGATATTGGGTTGGGTCGGTTGTTTTACAACGTTGATTAAGCCAAAAAAAATTTGGATGCTGGGAAAAAAGTCAAGTCTGTTGAATTTACTGACTCGTTTAATTCTTGTTTGTTATGTTAGTTACTCAAAAAATGAATCATTAGGGATATATATTTCCTTTTAAATCTATCCCCTAATTAATTTCAACATGTTTTCCTAACTCAATCTTGAAAAAGTGTAATGGTTTTGTGAGATTAGAATGGAAAATTCAGGTGTGTTTTGCTGACTTCCTTCATGATTTGACACAAAACCAACCATGGAAAAATCAGTTTCAGCTTTTTTCAGTTTCTGGCATGATTTCTGTTCCTTTACAGTTTACACCCAATTTGTCTAAAAAAACACCTTTTTTTTTTCTTTGAATTTAACCATCCAAATGCGTCATTCTCAAAATTAAGAATTCCTAAAAAAAAAAAAAATTGACCTGGCATATAGCTTAATGTGACATCACATTTTTGAAGGTACGAATTGAGTGTTTAGTGTTGGTTTGATTCATATTCTATATCATAGCATGCAATTACTAGCTAGGCACTAGGATGAGTACTTATCATTCGATAGAAAATGATTTTAATGATTTAAAATGCATTGTCCCAATAGAAACACTATTTTTATTGGTTAATAGAAAATAGTTTTTGCCATGTGATTTATACTTTAAATTGTAAAATCTAAGTCTTTGCATGTAAAATATGATTTTTATTTATCTTTGAATGTGCAACTAAAATGAAACGAAACAAAACAGTGATATGATAATTTATAAGCTAGTTACATATTTGCTATTGTAATTTCCAACAATTTATAAGCTAGTTAAATATATATATATATACATATTTATATTTTGGTATATTGTTTATTTACCCCCAAAAAAAAAAATTGCGAATATAAAATAATCTGATTCTAATCTTAGGGGCAGGCCTCCTGTTGTTTGTATCGGCTCCTTAAAGATTGATACAATTCAAACCGTCATTTCCATTTCCAGATAATCTAACAATATATGTTATATCATCAGGAGATTCCTGTTTATACGTTAATGACGAGCTTAGAAGAAGAGGAAGCCGGCGACAGCTGCGGCACCAACGATACCAGAGGCCTTGAGAGCAGCGGCGCCAGCCTTAGGTGGTGCAGGGGCGGGGGTATCAGTGCTGGGAGCGTCAGCGGTGGTGCCAGCAGCAGGTCCAGGGGAAGGTACATCAACATCAATGCCAGGGGTAGGAGGGGATGAGACATCAGGGGACCCCGCATCCGGAGGAGAGGCAGAAGCAGAGCTCTCGGGAGAGTCGGCATTGGGAGCCCCAGCAGGGGAAGTGGAGCTCTTGGGGCTGGGACTCTTAGAAGCAGGGGAGGGAGTAGGAGCAGAGGAGCCCTTAGGGGTAGCGGCAGGGGAGGACGATGGAGATGACTTTGGAGATTCTTTGGGAGTTGCGGCAGGGGAGGCAGATGGAGATGACTTTGGAGATTCTTTGGGAGTGGCGGAGGCGGGGGAAGTGGATGGAGAGGGTGAAGGTGAGGAGGCTGCAGAGACTGCCCCTGCAACAGCCAAGAAAACAAGGAGAAGCGCAACAAATTGGCGTGCCATCTCTGTTTTTGGAGATTCTGAGTTTAGTTTGTGGTGTTTTAAGGATGTTAGGGATGATTCAAAAGAAAATGCAGGGCAGAAAACAGCAAATGCTTGCGAACGAGATGAAACAGGGCATCAGGAGGAAAGTATTTATGGCGGAGAAGGGAAGAGGATAGCGAATCTGGGGCGGTCCTATCCTCGTGGAATTGACTCTGTTCGGTCAAACGGAAATTACTTTATTTAAGGACTCTTAATTTTAGTTTTTTTTCCTAAATTTATTTAAAATATAAGTTACTCGTGTTTTAATTATAGTTTTATATTTTATTTTTATAAAAAATTATAAAAATTATTCTTATTTCTATAATTAATGTTATATACATATTTTTCATTAAATTATTAATAAAATTAAGGTTAATATTCAATTTTTTAAAATAAATTAATAACAAAAAAT